AATAAACCTCAGTAGTTTCACTGCTAAGCACACATTTTCACCAAGAGAAATACACAGAATATTCATAGACTCATCATTAAAGTAACTAACTGGCAGCAAAAACTCTCCTGATGGCCATCAGAGTAGACCAGATCAATAATGACAGAAGTTACCTAATAATCCCACACTAGTTCTGAATTATGTATAATAAAGGGTTATTTATTTAGGGGAGACTCACAGATCACTGTCCTAGATCACAATCCTCTGCATGAATGGGGAACAGAAATCAAATCTAGCAGCCAGAAGTGAGATCCAGAAGATAGAGAGCGAATGCATGCTTTACAGCCGCATTTATAGTATAAGAGACCATGCTCAAGTAGACTGGTATCTTAAAGGCTATTGTGACTGAGGGAGCAGAAGGAGCTCCCAAAGTACCTCCCCTTTTGTTTAAATAAAAGACTTCCAAACCCAATACAAAACTATGTACACTAGGAACAGATATCAAGTATAAAGTTAGAATTACAACCAGTATAAACAATATTCAGCAAAGAACATATCCTAATGTTTTAACAAACATTCTATCCTAAGGAGTTTAAGTTTGGTATTGAAAATTACTTGGCTAGATCATAAGAGTACAGTAACTGCCAGGTGGTGGCGCCTTTAATCCCAGCACTCGGGAGGCAGAGGCAGGTGGATCTCTGTAAGTTCGAGGCCAACCTGGTATACAAGAGCTAGTTCCAGGACAGGAACCAAAAAAGCTACAGAGAAACCCTCTCTAGAAAATAAAAAAAAAAGAGTACAGTAACTACAACTATCTAATCTTCAACCCCATCGAAGACCTGAGGCAGGAGCTAATATTACTTGAGCAGGCAGGAAGTACAATCAAACAGCTTCTAAAAATGTGCAGTAGATGACAGAGACAACTGGCTGCCTGAGCAATCACCCAAAGTCTCATTTGCAATGTTGGAACAACCAACATTGGATAAGGTATAGAGTAACTGACAGACCATTTTCAGAGGCAGGAAAATTTTCAAAACCATCTTACCCTGTCTTGGCAAGATTTGACAATCTTTTTTCTTGTATCCTGCTTGTCCAGTATGTACATTGTGCACTTTGTCAGTGGTTGAGGCATGGGCAGTTCCTTGCCCAAAAGCCAGTTGTGCCAAGAAGAAAACAAACTCCAAGTGGAGTGTCTTTGTTGCTCAACACTGTCTCTGAAATAGATTGGTGCTGCCAGGAGCAATTGTGTCTCATATAAACAGAATCCTAAGTTATTTAATGCCATGTTCTATGGGTTTTGAAGTGTTTGAAGGTCACCTATCTATGTAGAATACAGTCTCTATGTATCTAAAGAACTTAGTCTGACTAAAAGTATAACAAACATTAATGACTATTGACCTATAATACTTACTACCTATATAACTTAAAGATTAAGACTTCATCTCAGAATATTAAACAGTCTATAAACAATTGTGCAGTAAAGGAGGACAATGGCCTCAAATTGTAAACAATGTATAAATATCAGAGGTAGAAATATATAATGCAATATGATAAACATATCATAAAATTGTTTCAATATACAAAATGTCTTAAGCAGAAGTAGAAACATGCCTATATACAATATGACAAAATAACTTTACATAGGTATACAAATATTGTAAATAGAAATATCAAATATAATTTGAACTTGTATCAATATACAAAAGTCTATACCAATATAAATTGTCCATAAATAATAGCTCACAAGTATTCACTCTTTCTCACTATTATTATTAGTGTAAGATTACACTAATCTACCTATTATCCCATTCAATTTCCCCTTTTTTTATCTCTGGGCCTAGATAATTTCCACCCTAACCCCCAATTCTATATGAGTAATAATCAATCCAAAAATGGTGTATGGTGTCCCTAACTCTGAGGACAAACTTTATTGGGAGAGAGGACATCGTCTTTGAGAATTGCTTCCTGCTGTCTTGGGGGTGATATTATTTCTATGGGATCCTGTAAAAGTAAAATAATGGTTAAGTTTTAAGATTGCTGTTTTGTATAATTGCAAATGGTCTCTGAACAGTTAATTGAGTTTTTTGTTTTGTTTTGTTTTTGTTGTTATTCTTATTTGGAGTCCTGACCAGAATGTTGAAAGAAGGTGCACCAATTCTGTAGCTGGTACCCAAAACCTGGTCTCATAGTAGTACTATCAGTATCATTAAGTCATATCAATCAGGTGGAGTCATTGTTGTGGGGCCCCATCTTCTTCCTGGAACCTTTAAAGATTACTGCAGGAAAATCTACTGTTCATAGTTGAAATCTTAAACATTATTCACATAGACATATATTCAACAAAAGATACAATATAGACAAAATGGGCATAGAAAAGTAAAATATTTCCTTAAAATCTATCTTCCCTCTGTCCCATACCAGATGGATCCTGACACGAGACAGAAATTCTGAAATTTTATTTTAACAACATACTTGGATTCAGAGAAGGATAACTATCATTCAAATCTAAAGTTGGCTCTAATTTTTAAGTAGAAATGTATACATATCCAGATAATCAAATTTTACCATGCAGTTGGTACAGCATCATAAGTCAGATTTCTCTTTGCTTGTTGATTCTTTCTGAATAGCTATATTTTCATCTTTAAACATCTAGATGTTGAAGATCTCTTGACTCTTTGAAGATGAATGTTTTCCTGCAAAGACAAGAACAGAACCCTGCCCCAACCCTTAAGAGATTTTGTTACCACTTGTATTATTGTCACGTCTGTTCATGAGCCATAATTTTCAAGAGGCTTCTCTTTTTCAAACTGAATCTTTATTAATTTTGATGCTTTCCATAGTTTTTCTTCTGTGGTAACAAGAATGAAACCTCTTCCCCAACGTAGCACATCTCCTGGTTTCCATTGTGAGGTCAAAACATCCTTGAAATATACCAGCTGATTTAATTCAGAAGTTCTTTTCTATTATTCAATGTCTGTTTGCTGCCATTGTTCTTTTCTCATTAGCATTAAAAAATTCAAGGTTGAAGAGTCTGCAACCAGTCTCTCCTAATTTGTACCTTTTGTGTTTTAATTTTCTGTAAACTTATTTTTGTTTTTTATTATTTATTTATGTATTAAAGATTTCTGTCTCTTCCCCACCACTGCCTCCCATATCCCTCCTCCTCCCCCAATCAACTCCCCCTCTCTCATCAGCCCACAGACCAGGTTCCTTGCCCTGTGGGGAGTCCAAGGACCTCCCACCTCCTTCCAGGTCTAGTAAGGTGAACATCCAAATAGCCTAGGCTCCCACAAAGCCAGTATGTGTAGTAGGATCAAAGCCCAGTGCCATTGTTCTTGACTTCTCAGCAATCCTCATTGTCCGCTATTGTAAACTTATTTTGTAACCTAGGTAATTGACAAAATTTCTTCTTTGTATTTTTTCAGGAGCAATTTGTAATCCCGATTTAGTCAAAGCTTTTTTACTTCTTCAAATATTCTTTCTAAAGTACCTGCATTTGAGTCAGATAACAAAATGTCATTCATGGAATGGTAAATTATAGACTTAGGAAATTGTTTGTGTATTATTTCTGATGGCTGATTTTCAAAGTATTGGCATCGGGTTGGACTATTGAGCATTCCCCGTGAGAGGAAGGTCCACTATTATCTCCTAGTAGGCTAAGAATTATTATAAGTAGGTACTGTGAAAGCAAAATTTTCTCTATCCTTTTCTTGTGACGGTATAGTGAAAAAACAATCTTTCAAATCAATAACTATAAGAGGACTTCCTCTGGTAATAGAGAGGGCAGAGGAATTCCAGATTGTAGAGGACCCATAGGTTGAATAACCGTGTTGACAGCTCTTATATCTGTCACCATTCTCCATTTACCAGATTTCTTTTTTTACAACAAATACAGAAGAATTATAAGGGCTGGTTTATTCTTCAATGTGGTGAGCATCTAGTTGCTCCTATACTATCTGTTCTAAAGCCTGCAGTTTGTCTTCTGTTAAAGGCCATTGTTTAACCCATATGGATTTCTCAATTAATCATTGCCAAAGCAAGGCCATTAGTACCTCTGAAGGCTTGCTAGTTGCTTTGTGTTCTTGTACAGCCTGAATGGCTGGTGACCTTTGTTTATAATATCTTATAATATCCTTCCCAGAAACATGAGTTTTTGGAACTGCAGGAATGTTAACCTGGGTATTCCATTGTTACAATAGGTCATGGACCCATAAATTCACTGAAATATTAGTTATATATGGCCTAATTCTTCCTTTATTTTATTAGCCCTATGCATTCAACCTATCTTGTGCCTATTTTCACTTGAGATAGGTTTCCAATTCCTAGGAATTGAATATCTGACTCTTGAAGAGGCCAATCTGGATGCTAAGATTCTGGAGTAATGCTACTCACGTCCACACCTGTGTCTAGTAATCCCTTAATTACAATGTCATTTATACACACTCTTAGCTTTGGTCTTAGATCATTTTTAGAAGTCTGTCAAAATATACATTTCCTATTTCCTACTGGAGTTTTTGATTCATCCTCCATATCTATTCCATCATCCAGTACAGTATGGTTATTTTTTTACAGTAGGCACTGAATTGTTTAATTTTCCTGGAGAGACATGTTCTTCACAGTTACTGGAAATGACTGGACCTTGTTTGATGTTTGGGCCTGTGAGAGGCCCTCCAAGGAGTTTTCCATTGGTATTGGGTTGCCTTGCCTGTCTCTTATTGATCTATATTTATTAGTCCAATGCCGACCTTTGCCACACCTCCTACATATACCAGAAGGCTGAGTCCTCCTATTCTTGCCATTCCTAGAGGAGATATTATTCCTAGGGATTACTTGCCTACAGTCTCTTCTTAGATGTCCTGTTCTGCTACAATTAAAACATCTGGCATTTTGGTATCTCCTCATACCATTGGAAATCACTTCTCCTACACAAGCTTCAGTTAACTATAGTTATATGTTTTAACATTTATTGTATGCAAGATCCATTCATCTAGGCACTCAGCAGGTCGCTGGTGGCACGGCGGTGGTGCAGTTTTGCTTTCAAGGATGGCGCAGAAGAAATATCTTCAAGCAAAATTGACCCAGTTTCTAAGGGAAGACAGAATTCAAATTTGGAAACCACCATATACTGATCAAAATAAAGAAGTTGGTTTGGCCTTGAAGGACCTTGCTAAGAAGTACTCTGACCGACTAGTGTGCTGTGAGAATGAAGTGGAAAACATAATAGAAGAGATCCGCTGCAAAGCCACTGAGCGTGGCACAGGAAATGAACACTACCGAACAACCGGGATTGCCACGATTGAGGTGTTTCTGCCTCCAAGACTCAGGAAAGACAAGAAAAGCTTGTTGGAGACCCACTTGCATGTCACTGGTAGAGACCTGAGATCTAAAATAGCTGAAACTTTTGGATTTCAAGAAAATTACATCAAGATTGTAATAAATAAGAAACAACTTCAACTAGGGAAAAGCCTTGAAGAACAAGGAGTGACTCACAATGTAAAGGCCATGGTGCTAGAACTGAAACAGTCTGAAGAGGATGTGAGGAAAAACTTCCAGGTAGAGGAAGAGGAACAGAATGAGGCAGAACTGAAGGAGAAACGCATTCAGAGGACCAAAAGGGGACTGGAGATTCTGACAGAGAGAGCTGAGATGGTAGATCCGGAAACCATGCCTTACTTAGACATTGCAAACCAGACAGGCAGGTCAATCAGAATTCCTCCTGCCAAAAGAAAAGCCCTTATGTTAGCTATGGGATACCATGAGAAGGGCAGAGCTTTCCTGAAGAGGAAAGAGTATGGGATAGCCTTGCCATTCCTTCTGGATGCTGACAGGTATTTCTGTGAGTGCAAAGAGCTGCTGGACACTGTGGACAACTACGCGGTTCTCCAGCTGGATATTGTGTGGTGCTACTTCCGCCTGGAACAACTGGAGTGCCTGGATGATGCAGAGAAGAAGCTGAACTTGGCCCAGAAGTGCTTTAAAAACTGTTATGGAGAGAATCACCAGAGATTGGTCCACATAAAAGGAAATTGTGGGAAAGAGAAAGTGTTGTTTTTAAGACTCTACCTGCTTCAGGGGATTCGGAACTATCACAGTGGAAATGGAGAGGAGGCTCGGGAATATCTCAACAAGGCACGCCAGCTCTTTAAAGAGCTGTACATTGATCCATCAAAAGTTCACAACTTGCTGCAGTTGGGATTCACTGCCCAGGAAGCCCGGCTCGGCCTGCGGGCTTGTGATGGGAACGTGGACCATGCAGCCATTCATATTTCCAACCGCAGAGAGGAACTGGCCCAAATGAGGACGGAGGAGAAGGAGAAGAGGAGACGCCGCCTGGAAAATATCAAGTCTTTGAAAGGAATGGGCTACTCCACACATGCTGCCAAACAGGCCCTTCACCAGGCCAGAGGCAACCTGGACGACGCCCTGAAGATTCTCCTCAGTAACCCCCACATGTGGTGGCTACAGGACTCAGACTCTGAAAACAGCAGCCATCAAGCAAGTCCGTCTCAGGAAAGCATCGACCAACTGGTGTACATGGGTTTCAACACAGTGGTGGCTGAAGCAGCACTAAGGGTATTTGGGGGCAATGTCCAGGTAGGAGCTCAGACCCTTGCGCACCATGGAGGAAGCCTTCCTCCAGACCTGCAGTTCTCAGGAGAGGACTCCTCTTCCACAGCGTCCACATCCCCGTCTGACTCTGCAGGGACCTCTAGTGCCTCAACAGATGAAGACATGGAGACAGAGGCTGTCAACGAGATCCTGGAGGACATTCCAGAGCACGAGGAGGACTACCTGGACTCAACTCTGGAGGACGAAGAAGTCATTATTGCCTAGTACTTGTCCTATGTGGAAAGTGTAAGGTCTGCTGCAAAGAACAACTGAACAAAAAAAGAAAAAGAAAAAGAAAGATCCATTCATCTATGGGTGCTGATCTAACCTTTAAAGGCCCAAGGGTCTTCCTACATTCTAAGTTGGCATTTTCAAAAGCCAAGGATTCAATAAGTACATGTTTAGCTTCAGGGTCTGTCATTCCTTCTTATACAGCCTTAGTTAATCTTTGTAAAAAGTCACTAAAGTGTTCTCTCTGGTCCTGTTTAACACTAATATATAACCCAGTCCTCTTTTCTGGTTCCTGCATCCTGTCCCAATCATTTAAAGCTGCTGTGCTACATAGGAACAAGGTGTGTTCATCATAGCAAGCCTGTTTCTGAAGATCAGAGTAATGACCCTCACCAAGATTTGATCTTGGAAAGTCTCAAATCCTTTTTACTTTCCCCTGTTGCTCTAAAATTTTTGCCTCTTCTCTCCAACAACACTTCCAAAGCAGCTGAGGTCCATTTTCTAGGACCGCTGAGATTAATGAAAGCCAGTCATGTGGGATGGCCTTAGTGCTTGAAGCCCACATTTTCACCTTTTCCCTGACAAATGGTGAATGCATCCCTTAAGACACTATTACTAGCTTTATTTCATTTAGATCACTCATATGTATTGGTTTCCATGTATATTCTTTGACTACCTTAGGGTACTTTGTGCCAGATAGTCTTTCCAAGGAAATTACCAAATATGCAGTCAAAACTCTATGTAAGCCATGCCATGGTTTGGCATATACTGATGAGACCAAATCTTTGTACCTTCTGTTCCTGCTCATCAATTTCAATAAATTTTTCAATCTTTTCAAGTCTTTTTACTACTGCCTTTTGTAAAGTCTGAATCTCCTGTCCAGTGTTCTGTTCCAATGCCCTCACTGAGGATTCCAAGGTATTAAACTTGTCCAGTAAAGATAGCATCTCATACTTGAACATAATTTTGACTATGTGCATATTACCTTCCCTGGAGAGATATCTTATCCATTAATCTACCATAACTTTTCAACAGATTAAGATAGTTAAAATCAAAAGCACAAATTCTTTCAGATAATTTTGTCAAATTGATTCTATCCTTCTCAGTTGTATTGGATCATTTTTAATGAGATAATATTGAAAATAAAACTAATTCCTAGAATCAAATAAAGGGATTTAGAAGGAAAATCTTGTAAGCCTTGCAGAATGCCTTCTATAATATAAGCAAAATAATTATTGAATTCCTGGATGCTATCAGTCATTTTGTAGTTTTTCAGATCTTACCTTTCATAAGGCAATTACAATGAATTGGAGTAGGTGTAATAATGGTTATTGACCAGCAGGTGTCGCAGTTGCAGTCACATGGCTGAGAGACGCGAGCAGCAGTAAACAGCTTGCATTGCTTACTTAGGTACTGAAAAATATGTTTTGTTTAACAAATTAAGAGCAGTTATTAAGGCAATCAAACAATTCCAATACTTGGAGCCCAGGGTAAAGAGAAAACCCAAAGTTTTCTATCAATGTGACTTGTGTACTGTGTGCACTGCCATCGTAGGGATCACAGGCAGCAGCATGTGGGCTGACATGTAATGCACAGAGAGGCAGCATGTGGGTTGCAAGCCAGGAAGCACTGAGCAGCAGCCTGCTGCATCTGAAAGCCGGCTAGAGTCATGAGTGGGAGAGTCAGTGCCCAATGTGCCATGTGCCTGGCAGACTGATACCAAAAAGTATGGACTGGTCCCCACATTTGGGCTCCAGATGAGGACAGAAGTTACAAAATAATCTCACACTAGTTCAGAATTACATATAACGAAAAGTTATTTATTTAGGGGAGACTCACAGATCACTGTCCTAGATCATAGTCCTCTGCATGAATGGGGAACAGGAATCAAATCTAGAAGTCAGAAGTGAGCTCCGGAAGCAAGAGAGCAAGCATACACTTTACAGCTGCATTTATAGTATAAGGGACCACACCCTAGTTAGCTAGTATTTTAAAAGCTATTGGCTGAAGGAGCTGAAAGAGCTCCCACAGCAGATCAGTATGCTGTGGTGTTTTTCATTTACTAGAACATTGCATAGTTACATGGAGCAACACAGACTGATCCCATCACTGTTGATACTGTACATGAAGACAGTAGTCAATCTACACATGTTCATCTGCAGTGTGTCTTAACATTTAATAGAGAGATAGACTGGGGAGGTGGCTCAGTGGTTAGCATTTGATTCCCAGCACCCATGTTGACTCACAGCCTTCTGAACCTCCAGTGATAGGAATCTGGTGTCCTCTCTGGCCTTCATCAGCATCAAGCACACATTTAGTTCATAGACATAATGCACTCAAAACACTCATGCACTTTCAATATCATTTTTGCAAGGTAGATTTTTATCTTTAAAAAGAATACAGAAATACAAATTAGTGTGCAGTAAGGAAATGAAATGGTTTTTCAGTTCTTTCTCTACTATAAAGTGATATTGTAATTGAGGTGCATCAGAAGGCATGAGATGTGTTGTCAGAATTGTGTGGAGATTGTCACCTTCCCATGATGCAGTCTGTGCACATCTTCATCATCAGTATGTACTCATAACTGCACTTGTTGTGCTGTGCTGGCAATAAACATAAATCTAGAAAACTGAGCTTCTGGTTCACAATCACATGATAGTAAAAATGATAAAAAGGGATTTTTCCCTCCATCTGTCTCTTAATCCTGTCCTATTCTTTAACATGGAGCTGGCACTGAGCCTGCATCCATTCACATCATGAAGGAGCTCTAGTGTTTGAATGGTGGGCATTTGATAACCCCTAAAGCTTTAGTTCTTCTTGGTTTTAGAGAATTGATTTTGGATGATGAATTGTGGTTAAAAACAGTTTAATTTCAGGTGGAGATATGGTTATGAATTCCACTTTAAAGCTTAGACACCTGCAGAGCTCAGTTGCTGTGATGCTCATAAACACTCCTGCCTACCATTGATGGAAGGTTGGTTTTCACTGGCATGCCTGAGGAATCTAAATAGATTTAGTGCTCCATTATTAACAGGCCACGCCTGTGATTTCTTTCTTGAATGCTGAGATTCACAAAGAGGGACAGGTGGAGGATATAAATATGATTAATTAGATTTACTAGAATTGGATAAGACAACTTTAAGGAAAATACTACTACATCAGACCAAAAATAAAGTTAAGTTAAGCAGCCCTAATTTATTACAAGATTAAATAGTTTGGAGAAAATCACAAATATCAGGTAACCAGAGTGCTAGAAAGAAAATGAAGTTTAAACTCTACCAAATCAAACAGCAATAAATAAATAAACTAGTAAATAAATAAACTAATGAACCATAGGTAACTAATCAAACTAATAAATCCAGATACCAAACCCCAGTATCGACGGGTAACCATGGGGTTTTCTTGTCATGGTCTTCTCTGCAGACCATAGGTTCTGCAGAGGTGGGAACACAGATGAGTTGAATCCTTAGGGGCAGTAGTGAACAGGTAGGAGCTGGTTGTGTAGGGTTCACCACAAGCCTAAATTTTTCAGTCCTTGGTGCTATTTCTAACATAGTTAACCCTTGATGCTGCCCACTGGGTGTCAGCTGCTCAAGGCAAGGCTCTTTGCTTTGGTAGCAGATATACCCTGATGCCAAGAACAAGCCTGTGCAGGCTCAACACACATTTGCCAACTTGCTACCTTAATATTTTTTATCTTCAGCTATCTTTCATCACCCTTCTCCCACTTTTTCCACATATTAATCTTTTCCAAGTATTCTCTGTGACTCCTCAGTTTTTTTCTCAAAAACAGATGCTACAATTTTTAAATCTATGGACGCATGCTGCTTTTGATGTTACAATGGCCATGGCCGTAAGCTATAGATCTAAGTAATTCCAATTTTGCATTCTCTCCTTGAGAAAAGGATGTTGTTAACTATTTTCAAAGTGGTTTTATATCTTTATTGAAACTTGGTATTTTCTTCATATGGGGTTAAACAGGAAACATTTGGGAAAATTCAGGTTTTTTAACCTTTATTATTTCCAGTGCGATGTTTTTCTATTGCACACTCTTGGTAGACGTATTTGCTAAGATATCATTAGGACTCTGTGCATTTGTTATATAATCGGCCATGTGCTGAACTTGGACTGTGATTCAGTTTGCTGGTGCTTTCACATCCTCAACTCCTCTGCATTGCTAACACTTCAGTCTTTTTACATTAACCTTCCTGTGTCAATGGTCTGACTGCTCATTCTAATAAAACACAGTACTCTAAGCAGACAAGAGTCTGCACATTAACACAAATGTGAACCCAATGCAAGCAATGATTTGAATGAAATCACAAAATATCTGAGATGATAAAAAACATATAAGTTTTCATTTCACTAATAATGAAAACAATTTAAGATTAATTAGAATGAAATTATTCTTTTGGCCCATCAGCAGCGACTGGAAAAAACATTGTTCTCAGCACATGCCAGTATTCTTCTGAGAATACTGAGAACAAGCTCACTTCTGGCTCAAGAAGAGGGACATGTATACACCAGAAATGAACTTGTCCTACATGGCATAAATGAGGGGAGGAGGGGACCTTTTACCTTAATAAATGGTTCTCAAGGACTGGCAGTATAGATTCTTACTACGGCAATAGTAACACGATTAGCCTTTGTGATGGCCTGGGATGGGGTTAGCAACAGATGCTGATGGAAGAATGCTGCTAGAATACCCACCCTATTGAGGGTCCAGGCAGGCATCCTGCTTTCTGTAGCCCAGGGAAATTGAAGCTGATACACAGTGGTCTCTAAACATGAAACAGGAAAACATCTCACGACACAGGAGCAAGCAGAGAAGGTAGATGGGAAATCTCCAGGTAGAGGATGTTATATGAAAAGTAGGAAAACAGCCTCCAAATGAATCACTTTGGTAGCTTATCTTTGTGAGACAACTTGTTACTGTACCACTAGCATCCTTATGGTGACTTTTCCCATTTATCTGAAGCCCACTGTCATCAGCTGTAGGTCAATGACTCTGTCATTGTGATACATAG